TTGAAACTTTGAATATCTGATCTGAATTCTTGCTTTAGAGACCGACAAGGTTCAAGGTTGAAATGTTCAGCCATGACTGCTTATTTCACCCACGGTGTGAGATCTAACATATAAAAAACCACCATGTGGACATGCCAACAAGGTAAAAAAAAACTTGTTTTTAACTGGATCGCATGAACGTCTGAAATCAATGGAAATCCATCCAACCGTTGATGGAATATTTCAGTCGTTGTTTCAGTCAGGGATCATAAATAGGTGGGACATTTCAGCCTCCACCAAAATGGTATCTACATAAAATGTAAAAACTTGATTATAACAAGACAAAAATCCAACTCATAACTCCATTAGGACTGCAACATATGTTAGCGTTTGACGTTGTGATGTGTGGATGCGCTGTGGTCACATTGCAAGAGGTGCAATGTGAAGGCGAGTAAATTAACTCAAAAACATCAGGCTGCAACTTTTTTCTTTCATTTTCATCATATACAAGAGAAGCCTGTCTGACAGAAGATAACACTGGGTTACAAAACAATATTTTTTGAGGGTGTCTAGGATTTTTTTTTAGGATTTAGGACACTTTTGCAACGCTGAATCCAAAAATGACATCTGCTTTTCTGTATCAGGTCAGGTTTTTATGCCAACTCGATTTTTAAAAAAATCGATTTTGCCACTAAATCGATTACACGCTTTATCCTGATCACCAAGCTTAAGGCCAAAATAAGCATGAGAAGCACATTTTATGAAGTTGGTGACCGAGTATCTGTTTGGAACAAAAGTGTATTTGCCACAGATGTAGCAGAAGACACCAGGCTTATTTCTACAAGTCCTTCTGGCTGAAGCCATTTGTTTTCAATGCATGTTTTGAGGCAAAGAACACTAAATATCTAACAATATTGAAGCAGAGAAAACTGTCATAAACTACAACTAATGTTATGATCACACCATCCGGTGGTGTTCATTCAGATGTTCACCTTGATAAAATCACTAATGTGTTGTTCATAAACCAGGGGGTAAACTTTCTATCTAAACTTAATTCACCTGCAAATATTTATAGCATCAACTTGTAAAGGTTTCAGAATTTGTTCATGTCAGGAAATAGAGAAATAGAGCAAAAACCAATGTCATATTTGGATTCAGCACATTGCAATTGTCCAAAATCAGCTCAAAAAGCTTTGACAACAAAATGGGAGTAGACCAGTGTAATATACTCTGATCTAAGCGTTCTAGGATAAACTGAGTTTTTAAATAATTTTATTTAAAGACAGAGTTTGTTGAGTCTCCAGGTGTGTGACGCAACACTGACAAGGAGGCTCCGGTTGCCAAAACAGTTGTATGGAAATATTTTCACCACAGAAAGCAGGACATCGACTAAAAACAGGTCCTCTGTCAGCAGCGTCTTACAATAGTTGCCTACACACGAGGCTACACAGTTATTTGTTTGGCCTTTTAAATCAGCACCACAAAGCTCGGTATGACAAGTGCAAAGCCTGATCTGAATGCCATCCAAAGCAAAAAAAAAAACTAGTTTGGATGCCTTTGCCAGTGTTACACCACATAAGGAAACGTTCCAAATGGCCCCTTTTCAGCTTTTTTAAAATAGTTTGTTTTTTATCTTCTGTGCAGATACTCTCCCCTACAAATCACCTCAGTCGCTGTAGAAGGATTAAGTCTTTGCAAATTGAGTCATTCAAGCCATCTGGTGACAATTCTCATGTTTTTTTTTTTTTTATATGTATATCAGGAAGACAAATAAATATTGCAAGAGCTTTTCTTCCCCAATGTCACGCAGCCCTTACCTTGTTCACTTATTCACTAGTCTGTGTACCTTATCAATATAGAGAATGTCGTTGTTATGGATTCTGCTGCATCAGTTTCTCTGCCATTAAAAGGTGCTACAGGGCTGTTCGCTGACACACTTCTTCAAACACGTGTTAAAGAACAAGTCTCTTTTTGATGGGCTTCAAGGCTTTACAGTTTTTTTTTTTTATAGGGTAATGGAAAGATGATCACATGAATCAAGCCAGCCCCTCTGTGATTCCACATGGCTGGCTGATTAGCCCCCCCTTTTCTTTTTTTTCACTGATGGAAAACACATGGCGTCCACACAGCTTGTTCATTTCAGGTTTGAGTTGGTGTGACGCTCAGCGGCGAGGAGCACTTGGTTTTTTGGAGCCGCAGCCTTGAAGGGCAGCCATCATCACAAATCTGTCCCCTGCAGTCCCCACTGGTCACTGACTGTTATTTAGCTTTCCAATGGAGGCTGGCTGTTCCCCTGGGGAGGGCAGAGAGTGTGCCTGCCAGCAGGAATGCATCGGAGGCAATAGAGGAAGATGGAGGATGGTGAGTAGCTGCTGCTGCTGCGTTTCCCTCTGTGTGAAAATGAGTCCATTAATTCAGCCCCCTCCCCTGCCTCTCCCTGAGCCCTCCCTGTGCCTGTTGTCTCTGTTTGTTAGCGAGATGATTCCTTCTGTCATGTCAAAGGCAACATTATCATATTCTTGTTGCCTGGGAAACCAGCGCCGAGCGAGACAACGACTTAAAGCCTTCATGGTGTTTGAAGCTGGTAAACATGAAAGGTTATCCGTGGAGCTATGAGAGTTGGAAACGTGACATATCTGAAAGGGTCTTACTGCTGGAAACATTTTTTTTTTCTTCTTCTTCTTCTGCGACTCAATGTTTTCTGAGAAATTCCCCTTTTGCTTGTTTTGTTTGTTAACAGATTTCACTTCTATAAAATCAGAGCAGCTGCAAAGGTATCGTGTCCAATTCGCCTTCAGCGTGAAGATGTTTTGACCTCAGCATTGATTTTTTTTGTGTGCAATCAGAGTATTCACAGATTTGAAAGTGTTGACATCCAACAAACTGCACATCTGATGCACATTTGGTTCCTTTTTCTCTAAACCAAATGCGATTACATGCATGGTGAAGTGTTTATAATGGACTGCTTTGATGTTTCCACTTTCTAATAACCCGCCCTTTATATGGGGTTTCTAAGTTGTAACCAGCAGCTTTATTAATGCAAAATAAATCATCTAGTGAGGCCTGTTTGATCATTCATAAGCCACTAATACAAACAACGGTTGGGTTGCCAGGTTGTGACAAATCCCTCTGGCTGATGTTTGCCCTCCTCCAGCTTGACACTTGCCTTATCATTTTCACTCTTCAGTTCATCAGGTAGATCGCTCCAATGGACCATTCAACCGCTTTTCATCTGGAAAAGATCTGCAGGAAAAACATGACCAAAATCCACTTATTAAAATGCATCAAAGTACGCAACTGCAGACTTGGATTGTTATAAAAAAATGTTCATCGGTGTTTGTATCTGCAAATCTGATGCTTATTATAAGGTGAGAAATGATTGATAACTGTATTATTACCAAACAAACACAAACTGAAGAAGTTTTTACTCACAAAAAACCCAAAATGTATCTGAATCAGACTTAAAACTGATCTAAACAACAACAAAAACCCCCTAAAAATTCACAATAACCAGTAGCAAAGCCCCTAGTTACAACTTATAAACCCTCTATCAAAGCCAGGAAATTTGCATAACAATGTAGACTCAACTATTTAGTAATGTTTCCCAATAGTGTATACCAGTATACCACAAGTCCAATTTTATTTTTATATAGATGCTTCAACAAAGTCACTAAGTAGCTATCTTTTGTTGCTATGCAGACGACTCACTTTTATACTTTCCTATAAGGTGACCCAATAAGCCAACGTTCAAACATTCAGAAACTGTAAAAATTGTGAAAATGACTTCCAGATATCTGTAAAATAATGATAGCTAGATAGATAGATAGATAGATAGATAGATAGATAGATAGATAGATAGATAGATAGATAGATAGATAGATAGACAGATAGATAGATAGATAGATAGATAGATAGATAGATAGATAGATAGATAGATAGATAGATAGACAGATAGATTCATCCCCTGGAGTTTTAAAGTGCTTTATAAATAAAATTGGATTGGATTTGACTCGTGCTACATACGAGACAAATAAGAAAAATAACGTGTACGTTGTGCTGATGGTGATTTAATACAGTAAAACTGTGATTATATGGTCACATGTTGTAAAACAACTAATTTAGTATTTTTTGATGTGGACAGTTTATTTATTTATTTTTTACAATCAACATATAAAATACTCCTTTTTTTTTCTGGTGATTATACTCGATATTATTTCTAATATAGCAAAAGAAGCAAAAGCCTGTAAAATACCAGTTAACAAAAATTATGTGCCCTTTGTTCATTCTTGACTATACATAATTGAACTTTCCAGTAGTGCCAAATATCTAACTTGTTGTGTGTTTTTTTTTTTCAATTTAAATACAGTAAAATGTATATGATGTATATAAAAATACAGATGTGTTGGACAGTATTTACAGTGTTGGCCAGTTTTTTGGGTTAGCATGTAAATGAATACTTTTTTCTGCGATTCACTAGTTTTTATCTGTGATTTAACTAAACAGTAAAAATTAGTGAAAAAAAATAACAGTAAATTTTTCAGACAGTATCGCTAACTAATATTGTTTAACTTGTGGCTAGTGACAGTTAGTTACATACATGTTTTTTTTTTTGCTTAATAACCTTTTTTATTACTTATCAATATTTATTTTATATTTATATATTTGTGCTCATTAATTTGAACATATAACATTTTGTCTTCTTGTTTTAACTTTATTTAATTTTGTCAAAATTTTTAATTTTCACCTTTGTTTTTAAACGTGCAAATAAATACGGTTATTTTTAATATATTACATTTTTATTTCTGACCATGTGCTCAGAGTTGTGAAACACAGTTTGGGGGTTGAGGGGAATCGAACCCTTGACCTCCTTATTTCCGCCCCCTGCCCAATAGCTACACAATCATCGGCAGTTCGACACATTTTACAGCAGTTTGCGCGATAGCTGTTGGGGATAATCCTCGTTGAATCACAGTCCAGTGGGCTCGCTGGATCCAGCTCCGGGTCTTGTGGCCGGGCGTCGCGGAGGAGCGTGTCAGTCCGATCCGGGAGCAGCTCTTCCGGTCCTGGTTTTGCCGGCTGCTCCCGCTGCTGCTGGTTGGCTACATTGTATCAGTTCCCACACGAAGAACCAGCACGGCGCTCATCCAGAAACGGTGAATACGGAGGAATTAACCTGGATGGAAAGCTACTCGCTGTGGGATTAATCGCCAGTAAAAGGTCGCGGGAGACGGAGCGGACTTGTGTCGGGCGTGAAACGGCGCCGATAAACATGCGCTCGGGACTCGGCTGCTCTCGCTGTGGACGGTATCTCGAAGTGTGATGGCAGAAGTCCAGTGAATCGCTGGCCTCCCCTCCTCTCTTGTGTTGGATGTCTTGGGGAGTGCGCTGCCACTGCTTTCTGGTGCTTCGGATTTTCTAAGAGCCTTTTTTATTCCAATTCACACACCGTTACTCTGATTTATTCCGTTTACTGGGCGCACGCCACCATGGACAGACTACGGTTTGGAATAGGAGTGTCTAGCTAAGTCGGTAAGTTGGTACATTTCGCTCTCATTGTTGATAGCGCTACGACTCGTTAGCCATTTAACGTTAGCCTTGCGTGCAAAGCGGAGCGGTGCTAGCTGAACGCCGTGTAGCTAACGCAGCATGCAGCAGCAGCAAGCTAGTCAAGCCTGACTGCACTCCGAGCTCATTGTTTCACTCTGCTAGCTTGCTAACGTTACAGTCCCATTAGCTCTTTACACGGAGCTAAGTTAGCCCCCGTTAGCTCCCCGAACTCCCAGCGGTCGTGTAAAACTGCTAACTTAAGCCGAGTAACGTTAAAAAGCAACCGCTAACTAATATCGTTTAACTTGCGGCTAGTGACAGTTAGCCACCACCTCGAGGGTAGCAGTTGTAGAAAACACTCGCTTTGCCTTCACTCATAATTTTACTTTTTTAAGCGTTTGGAAACAAATAAAAACATGTTTTAAGTGGTTAAAACTGTAAATTCCTGCTTGTGAAGTGCCCACAGTGTTTCCCAAACTGGGTGCCGGGGACCCCAGGGGGCCCGTGAGTGTTTTTTTTTTTTTTTTGGAGGGGGAGCAATCTGAAGGAAAAAAAACTGAAAATGAAACGTTTTTCTCAAACGTGTCACTCTTGAGATTTGAGCAGAGTGTGAGAAAATCAGTGTGAGCCTCACTTCCACTCCTGTGAGGACAGTGTAAATAGTGTTACACTCCTGTTATCTTCCTTAATGGAACTTAAAATCTTACAAAATGGTGGCTGAAGGTCAAATAAACGTCTAGTTAGGGCTTTGTGACATGGAAATAATTGGGATCTGGCTCCTTCCCTTGGACCGTGTTGTTGGGGTTGTCCCACCTCAGTGAAGTGAGTCATTCAATTAAAGCACAACATGTATTTTTTACAAGACCACTATGGGCTAACCCTGTGCTCTACCCCGTAGTTTGTCCTGCTCCATCAAGTATGACAATACCACATTAAAGACGCATTAAAGTCGTGTGCAGCTCAGTACTCAGCTGCAGGTTAAAGTATTCAATGTGTCAATTAGGCTAGATCTCAGACTACACTTCTGTGTTTTATTAAAAGTCCCAACTTTCAAAAAATTATCTGTCTTAGTGTTTAAGTGCACATTTTTTCTTGTTAATCGTGGCTGCGACTAACAGTTATTTTCATGGTCGATCCTTTCCGCCATTCATTGTCTGAAAATGGTGAAAAATGTGAATCATTGTTTCCCAAAACCCAAGACGATCTCCTCCTAAGGTGTTGTTTTGTTCAAAATCCCAGAGATATTCTGTTTGCGGTCATAAAAGACAAAAGAAAGCAGAAAAAAACATGTAAGAAGCTAGAATCAGAGAATTTTGCTTTCGTTTTCCTTTAAAAAAATATTCAAAATATTATTTGGCCATTGAAATAGTTGGCATGGCTAATTACCAGTCGATTAATTGTTGCAGCTCTATTGTTATAACACGACTCCTTAGCCATTTACTGTTAGCCAGGCTAGTGCAACATTTTATTACCTAGACCACCATGGGCTAACCCTACATAGTCTGATAATAGCACATTAAATACCAGCCAAGTAATCGGTTATAACAGTTAATAACGGTTGCAAACTATCCAGCCACTGTATGATGCCTTTTAAATAGAGCAATATTCATATAAATTTGAATTTGCCATGTTTGCGTTCGCAAAAATGACACGCTGGCTGGGGAGGAAAGATCACATTTAATGGTTTTGGTTTTAACGTTGCATAGACTTGACTTTGTACAACGTTCCTCATTGTCCTCATTGCCCCAGTAAAGCAAATATAATTGTTTTATGTCGTTTGTGTTGCATGTTTCTGTTTTTGCAACTGCTGAATGCTTACAGTGCAACTGGCGTGACAGCATTATCTCACAGGGACGTTTGAGAGAACATGGAATTTAGTTGTGCTTAGTGTGTAAGAGGTACACCGATAAACTGGCCAGGCATCGGTCATTATTAACTGATTATAAATGTGTACCTTTTGTTTATATGCCAGCTGTTAAATGACACAAGATTGCAGCGTAGGAAAGTCACTCTAAGTAGTTTGAGGGCACAAAACTATGGAAACTTTAGATTTCCACTGAAACAGTCACAGTAAGCATCTTTGACACATTCAAAACCAATGTCAGGCATCAATATCTGTTATTTGTGTATGAAAAGAAAAAAAAAATCCCCCAAATATCATTATCAGCACCAGCTAAGGAATCCGGTATCCACCCAAGCCATAAATGGAGGTGGGACCAATGCAAGCAATTCAATTGGAATGAGTGGTTTCTTTGTCAGCTAAAGTTGGTTAATTCAAGTCTTTATCACCTTCTGCCAGTGCTCTTTGTTTACATAACTGTACCATTAACCAAGAGCAAAAAGAACTTTGAGTATTGGACAGTGAAACATTTCACTTGTTCCTTCAGAGCCTAAACCTTCCTGGCTAATGGTATCAGTTTGGTTAGATTGTATGGCTGGCAAAAACAAACAAAAAACAGACTTATGACAGGCTGTTAAAGTAACTGTAAACTGTTCAAGGAATCAAAGTTTTAAAAAAACTATCACTTTGTATAGTTACAATTCACCACTTAAACCATTATAAGGGTGTTTGTGCACTAAGGCAAGGACCTTGTAATGTCATTTTATAGAGAGACACTCAACAAATCTGATTTACTTCTAGCAATTCTGAAAAAAAACAAAAACAACATTTACCAGAAAGAAACCTCCGACAGAACCAGGCTCAAGGAGGGCGGCCATCTGCCTCCACCTGATGGGGTGAGGGTAACGGCGAGACAGAATAGGACAGTAAACAAACATGTTGGAAGTTCCTTGTATACGTCTACTCAGCATCAGACCTGCGGTTTTGTCGTAACTACTGCTCTGTTAAAGAGGTCTGCAGTCGGGTTGCTCAAAGTGAACGTTTGGTATGCAGCTATCGTAGTGTGACTGGGCGGTTAAAGATGAATGATTTCAAGTGACGTACAGGAAGGCATGTCAGCTCAGTAGACAAATACCACACGCACACTTATGTCAGCATTACATTGATCCGTAGTTGGCGTATCCGAGGTCTGTCTCCAATAAAATGGCTCATATCTATTGGAGTACTCTATTCAGCTAGCCAAATATACTACTTTAGTACATGGAGCAATAAAAGATGTACTTTACTAGAGTGACTGTCGTTTGGCAGCGGTATCCATACATGATCCAAACGTTTCATGTAGGTTTTAAGAGTGTTTGATCCGTATCGATTAATTTCTGACTTGTTTCGTATTGATTTTTATACGTTTTAAGAATGTTTTATTCTGAAACAATTTATTTATTCCTCTCATGTACGTGTCATAGTGGAATCAATAAAAAGATGGTAATATAACAATATCAAGCCCAGCAGATTTGCCAAAGATTGAATTCATGCATGCAGAATGACTGGCGTTCCTGTTAATAATGGCAATGCTGCTTCAGAGCAAACATGTTCTCTTCTGTCTTTTCTTGTGAGAAGAATTTAGCATTTTCTCTGCCAGGCAGAGAGCTGGTACAGCTTCTTTTCCAGCTGACTACCTTTTCAAAGGCAGTTCCTCTCCATCTGATTACCTTTTTTTAGTAGTAATTTGTTCTAATCATTGTAAGGGTGTTAGGAGCCTTGTTGTAGCGTGCCAGACTCATTTTATACAATCTGACAGAGCCATCACTTGTGGAGTGAAATTTAAGACTCTATGGTGAACACAAGAGGAAAACCACTTGAGGAAATTCACATTTCCTTATTCAACAGCTTGATGTCTGTGATAACAGAGCTGCTGACATGTAATGTTCTTTAAATGGAAGCAGGGGATTGTTAAAGTGACTAATGTATGTGACGGCTTTGTGACTTTCACTTCAATGTGCAGATTATTCACTACATAACCATTTTTCAGTATTTGACTGGAAGGATTAAGACTCAGCGAGGCACAAAAGCCAGTCAAAGTTATGTTTTGTGTTGAAGTTGACCACCCTTTGACCTAATAAAATCTGTTCTGCACTGGGGTGGATATTAAAGAAGGACTGTGGAGAATTTAACTGTATTTGTTTAGACGTCCAGAGCATTAGATTAGTCCAGGACAGGGGGATTATGTTGGCTTTGTAAGGCTGCCGTCATCTTGTGGCCACACACCAGCTGATAGCAAACTAAGACTGGATTTGGCCTATATCCTCAAAGATAGGTGGTCATTTGAAGGCTTTCAGGTATTTTAGAATTACCCGAGTGAAGCCTTTCATTTTTGGTGCTTGTAAACCCACATGTGAAATTATATTCTTGTTTTTTTTTTTACTTTGGCAAAGAAATGTGAAGCATATGCGTTCCTTAATTCCCTTTGTGCCGTGGTGAGCCCATGTTAAGCTTATAGTACAGTTAGTGTCAGTAGACAGGTTGAGTTGAGATGAGATGGAACATCTTTGTACTTTAAAACCCCATCCAGTGTTTCCCCACGGTTGAGATTTATTTGAAGTGATCCTCTCTGAGAGAGAGATGGGGGGTTGGGCTTGTTTGAGCTGCTGCGGTGGGAAGCACCAACACCCAACACTTGAGCGGCTGCATTGCATACATGACCTGACTTCCAGAGAGTAGTCAGTAATAATAGATTCAGAGCAATTCAGTTGCACAAAGCAGGGTTTTTAACTTACTAATCTACCCAGTTAGCAGAAGATATATAAAAGAAAGAAATAATAAATAAAACATGTTAAAAAAAAAAGAAAATCATTGGATTGACTTTATAGATTTCACAGTCAAGGTTTTTGTCTGTTTTCGTTTTTAGCCCTTTAGATTTCTGCCAGTGCAGCGTAGAGCATTGATGATTGGCTGTTGGGTCCATAAAAAGGAGATTTACTACCTGCTATTTTCAAATCTCTTATATGCTGACAGTTTTTTTCAAAAGAATCCCAACATTTTGTCACTGAAGCTTCTCAAATGTGACGCTTTTTGTGTCTTAACGACATGAGAAATATATTTGTGTTTTGAATTGTGCGTCACTTGATACCCTCTCCTTAGCCTT